ATAATCGTGATGGAAATCGGCTTTTTGGTAGAAGGAAAGCATTTTAGAAAAAAAAAAGCAAATCTGCACCAGACAGGACTCGAACCTGCATGACTTACCTGATAGACAGCACTACCAGTACACTATCTACTCCCTAGAGCACATTGTTATGGAATCCCTTACAAAACTACCTCTTGAAATTCGGTCCATAACTTTTTTATAAGAATTGTTTTGCATATAGAGAAGGAATGTTTGAGACTTGTGTTCTAAGAGTAATCTTCTAGTATACATCTCATCCTGAACGGCTACGGTCACTAACAAGGGAATGCTTTTTACTCGAAGTGGCCATTCAAAACAAGATATATTCCATAATAACAATTTGGGTATGGGAAACTCAAATCTGTCTCCCATATCTGCGAAACGATTTTCTGGCAGAAGATATGGGCACTTGTTTCCATGAGACCACCTTATATGGAGTACTTGCGCAACAATACTAGGTGGTAGGGTGGCGCAGTGGTAAGTGTCTTGGTTTGCAGGTGTGCAAAGCAGGTTCGAATCCTGTTGTCGGCAAACACTTCACATTTTTTGCAATTACCTGTTATTGCTAGAGAAAGCTTTATTGACTTGTTCATTTATTGTCCAAAGTTAAGCTAAACCAATGATTAGATTTAAGTTGCAATTACTTACACCACGAACATATGTGATAGTCGTCTATAAAGAGTTGAAACATAAAAGCTGTTCACAGTCAGCGCATTGAAGGAGATGTTCTTCGTCGCAATTGTTTGCACTGCAACATCCTATGAGATCGGGAGTAAAGCAAAACTAAGCAGTAGTTTGGAGAGGGAAATGCTCTTATCATAATATAAATATTCATGACTATTATATAGTCAAATTAAGTGTTTTTTCAAGATTTATCAAGCAGATATACATTATTGCAAAAAACGCGAAACGTTCGCCGATAACAGGATTCGACCCTGCATCGCACACCTGCAAATCAAGACACTTACTACTGCGCCACCTTACCAACTAGCACGTTTGCGGAAGTACTCCATATTGTAGGTGGTCTCATGGAAACAAGTGCCCATATCTTCTTCCAGAAAACCGTTTCGCAGATATGGGAGACAGATTTGAGTTTCCCATACCCAAATTGTTATTATGGAATATATCTTGTTTTAAATGGCCACTTCGAGTAAAAAGCATTCCCTTGTAAGTATCCTTCCGTTGTTGGACAAATGCTGCAAAAGGAAAGAACAAAGAATGAAAAGCCTGGTGGTCATGGCTGAAGTAATCGAAAAAAAGCTATCTTCAACGAGAAAATGAGAAAGCTAGTAAAATAGTACGCTGAACTCACGCATAACAGCAGCCAACATAAGAGGATAACAAAATGTTGCAATAGAAGATCCAGTTGTAGACAAAACGCAATAAACAGACTCAAAGAAAAGAATCCTGCCAACAACTAAGGAGCAGATGTTTG